AACCTTTCCTTTTCAATAAGTTCAATAGTTACATAATTCTAGGCTGTGTGTTTTGCACATATAGATGCATGCCCAAATAAAAGTTGAGCCTTCATTGTAGCACAAACTGTTTTTCCTTTCTCTGATCCTGTTACGTGAACTACTCGTTTCTAACTACTAGTCCAGGTCCACCTAGACTAGTGACTTCTCTAAGTTTCAGTTTCTCCATCTGGGAAATGGACATGATAGGAATGACTTCTTAGGGGGTTTTCAGTATTATTAATATTAATTAATTAATAATATTAATATTACTATATAAGGTAACGTATATAAAACCCTGGCAAAGTGCCTGATGATGAATGTTGTCTGTTTTAATGATCAGTTCCGTCAACTTTAATGTTCTAGAGGTTGCAGATGGGAATTGGGGACATACCTTTCTAATAGTAAGATCCCACTAAAAGGGCAGCCTGAGAACCTCGTCCCATACTTGTGTTCTAGCAGAGGGAGGTTGTTGCCACCTAGAAAGCATTAGGGAGATGGAGCTGTTTTTGTTCCCTCTCCAACTATTCCTCTCTCTAGATCTCTGTTCTCTGCTGGGATTAAAACTGGGACTTTCATTTTTCTTATGAAAAAAACTAAGGTGGTCAGTTGAAGCATCTCTTTTATTTTTCTGATTTCTCCCCCTTTATCTGGAAAGGATCGTTATTCTCCTCCTGTGGGCATGCCAGGCCAGGCTGTAGAAGTCCAACAGAATGTAAGCTTCTCTAGTAGTCCAAACATATTCAAAATGCTGCCTGTGGCAGTGGCAGTCTCTGCGGGCTCAGCTCAGTAGACCCCAAGGCTCTCTTCCTTTTTGCTTTCAGTACACCTGAAAACAAACAAACAACACCAAACCCATAAACCCCCCCATCAAAAGTTTGTCCCTCCTCCTTTGGTCCAGTCCCCCTTTCTCCAACCCCTTTTAGAGAGTTCTCACTAAAATAATATCCTGTAGGCTCTCTCATCTGTGCCACCAACACTACTGCCCAACACTTTCCATGAAGTTAAACACTTTTCTTTTCCTTCTAGCTTCCCCTTTAACTTCCATTACCCAAAGAAGCAACTGTCTTTCCTCTACGTCCCAGTCCAGTCTCATTTACCCTCTTGTTTAAAGCCACCATCCACGTGTTCAGTTTTTAGGGATAATTCAGGCTGGACTCTCATCTGTTTCCTTCCCCCTTAGACTTTCGGGAAACACTGCTGCTTGAAGCTGACCTTAAGCTGAGTCTCCTTTTGGTCTTCCAGGTTTGCATTTATTATTCTTGCCTCACCTCAGTTTTCCTTTTCCTTAATGCTCCATCCACATCGTTGTTGCGTTGGTCTGGCCCTTGAAAGGTAGCTGGAAATTCTCAGACACGTTCGAAGCACTTGCTGCAAGCCTATTTCTTCAGAGAACTAGCACCCTTCTCTGACACCAGATCCCGAGCAGGGTCTCCCCACATTACTTCATTTCTTTGTTTGGTTTTGCAATAGAACTGGGAACTGCAGATGGAGAAAGCCTCTCTCTCTGGGGAGGTCTCTTATGGAGACCTACAGAACCAAATATTCTTTCTAGGAACGCGGTGGTGAGAGATGCTATATTGTATCGGCAATTGGAGCTTTACGTCTGGGGATAAAAATTGCTCAGTTGTAACAGCTACTGGAGAGGAGAAACTCTAGGTCTTCCCTCCTTTGAGATTCCCAGGGCAGAGACAGCAGTAATGAGGTGTGACCCTACACATGGCCAGGCTTTCCACTTGCTCCTAGCTTTGGTGGCGTTTTTTTCATCTGAGTCGGAAGTAGCAAGCATATTAAGGGCCGGAGTTGGTGACATGCAGCAATCAAGGACACGGAGGGGCTGGATGGATCTCAGTGGTGTCCTTGAAGGTGAAGAGGCCTCCCCAGCCCTCAGGCCCTCCTGGAACTGAGGACAGGAGACAGGGAGCCCGTGGAGAAGAGAGGTCCCGGCAGAGCACACCTGCCCTTGCTTCATGTGGGATTGAAGAGGCATGAGCTGAGGATCCTCTCTGTGGCACTATCCACGGGTCCTACACGTCCCCACCTTGTCCCCCTTGTGTAGAGTCATGGAGCTGTGCCAGCTGAGGATCAGAGAGTTTCAGCAACTTACCCAAGGTCACACAGCAAATAGGTGGACATATTTGGACTAAAGTCTGACTCCAGAATCTTTCTCAGCTTCTACTCTTCCTTCTATGAAGGATGTTTGTCTTTTTTTTCTCCCTTTCCCTCAAGTTTTAGACAGAGAAATTGTCACCCAAATGAGAAATATTTGGGTATTACTTGATTTACCAACATGCATTTTGCGACCCCACAGAACATTCTGGCAAGTGCTTGGAGTTACAAAGGAAGCAGCTGACACTTTCTTTGACCCAAGGAGCTGGCTCGGTGATCTTCAGTCATGGAAAGTCCCTTCCCCAGATAGACTCTGGTTTTCCACTGGCTTCTCCTGCTGCTAAAATAAAACCTGGCTAATCCCTCAGGGAACCATCCAGCGTAAACAGGCGGTGTTGCCTCTCCGGCATTTGTCAGAAGTGTGGAGAAGTCATTTTTTTATGTGCAGTTTTGCCCCTCTCGGCTGCCACGTCTCTGTCCTGCTCCAGCTAACCTGCTCTTGTTACTTCTGAGCTTGCCTTGCCAGAAGCCTCTTCAGAGTGACTGTTTTTCTCCGGTTACCTCCAGTTGAACTTGGCTTTCTGAGTTACCCTTCCTTTCTCTTTAAAGAGCGATGTCCACGAACACAGGCAAGAGTCAGCACGGACACCACGCACTGTTCAGCCCAGGCATTGTCCTGCATGAGGCACCGTTGAGCCCTCCGCGACTGTCCTCCTTCCTCTCCACCCCAGCACTCGTGTTAACCCCACACTTGCAGCAGAATGACTTTCTTATGTCCTCCAACCATGAGATCGGTGCTGCAGGAAGAATTAGCAACACGTACATTTAGAATTGATATTTATAAAAGCAGGCTTGGCCTCAGTTTTCAGTCCTGCCGCGGAGAAAAAAACTGACCACAATGTGTGACTTTATAGCACAAGGCAGACATGATCAGAAAACGGTCAAGAATACAAAACAATCCATCCTTTTCTCTCGGGCCCCCTCCTCATTTCTACTGACATTTTCCCAAACAAGCTACCAAACAACCAGGTAACGTATCTTGGCATTTACTCACGTCAGGCCATAGGGCTACTTGAATGGACTTAGTGTTTACATTTCCTTAGTGGGTCTTTTTTGGATTAGAAACCATGAGTGCCTTAAAATGAAAGAATTAGGTCAAATCAGCCATAGTCCAAACAGGTTCAAAAATTTTTTAGATGTTAGATTAACACAACCATTTAATTGGTGGCCTTCACATGGCCTATGGAAGCCAACAATTTTTAAGGAGTAAAGAATAACAGAAGACCACGTATAAAATTTGGGGCATTTAAAAAAATCATCACATTTTTCATTGAAAGCATCTTTGTGTTTTTAAAATCAGGAAAACTTGCTTTTGAAACTTCTAAAATGTGTTTTCGAAAACTACGCAAATCTTTTAGATAAAGAATCATATTTTTTTAAAAAAAAGAATGTCTGATCCATTTCTCTGGTGAATGATCAGGAAAGCAGAGGGAGAAGTGACTTCAATTTCACAAGCAAATACATATGCGTGCGCACGTCCGTATGTCTATTTTCCGATTACGTCATACTCCAGGCAACAGGGAGCCTGGTCACAATGGGACTTCTCAGAGGCAGAGCCGCCAGGCTGTGTGTGAGTGGCACTGGGACGCTGAGCTTCTCAACACCTTCCAGGGGAGAGGATGGGAGTCAGATGCAACAAGGAGACAATACTAAATTGGCTGCGCTCTTTGCAATGAGAGGGGAAGAGGAAAACGTGTTCATCCTGAAGAGTTATTAATGCTTCTGAGAACTTCAGGGAGAAAGTGTGGAACCCTGGTGTACATAAAATGACAGATGAGGGGCTCTGTCATGGAGGACCTTTGGGGTAGTGCCCCTAGTTAGAACACTTATTTTTTCCCCAGAGGTGATGTGGGCACAGCACTGAGCTGTGCGAATCGGAGGGCCAACCAAGAGCTGTTCCCTTTGCTGAATCTGTCCTACGGTGATGCCTGTCTGCCTGCTGGTGCTGTTACCAGTCTCTTGACACTGTCAGTCATTTCCCTTGTTCCTCCTGCTGCTAGAAGACTTTTGCCCGTTTCCCCTTCCTCCTTGGAGCCGACCGGGAGTCTGTGGAGTAACAGGGCCTTTCCAAGAAGGGGGGGCCAGAGTGATGGGGCCACACACAGCAGTGAGACGAAGACAGTGAGGAATAAGTAAGCACCCAGGCCTTGGTCCCAGTGACAAAGCCCAATCCTGAGTCGCTCCAGTGGTGTCAGGAACCTGGGGGAGACACCCGGTGTTCCTTCTGAGGAGGCCACTAGCTGGCGCTCCTAGAACATCTATCGCAGTTGGGTGGGGCTTGGGTCCACCTCTCCACCATACTCTGAGAAATCACATCCCGGGACTTTGGAGAAGTGAGCTGGTGCTTTGGGACGTCTAGAGCAGTGGATGTCACAGAGGAGTGGAGGGAGCCAAGCCAAAATTTCTGGGTGGGGAATCCAAGCTGCCTTTCTAGGCAGGGCGGCAGCTGGAGGGGAGGGTGCAGCAGCATTTGCCATTGCTGGCCAGTGTCAGGTGAGGGTGGCAGGGCTCCCAAGGTAGCGAATCAACGTGGAGGCAGCTCCTGTGCTTGTCTCCCTCACAGAGCTGCAAACGGAAGGAAGGGGCGAGTGTTTCTCTGCTGCTCGGGTTTGCCTCTGTCTGCAGCATGTCTCCCCTGCTGCCTCCTTGCAGGTTTAGGTCTCTCCCAGCTCCTCCCTGTGCGAACGAACACAGGGCTGACCCTGCAGAGGGTGAGTGAGCGTTTGGCAGTGGTTGCTTTGCTGTGGTCACTGTATTTTTCTTGGAACAGCACCAGGATTGATCGCCCCCCTCCCCTTCTTAGTGTTGGAGGCTCAGAAGACAGGGATCTGGTCTCTCCGAACCACATCCAGGTCATCGTCCAAAGTTAACAAAACCTGAAATGAGAGGAACAGAGAGATGGAAGGATTGTACAGTCACTGTCACACCAAGAAGTCCCTACTTTCTCTCTAGACTACCACAGACTGGAAATTGTATTCCCTTGCTCGTTTTCATGTCTTCTGCAGCTCTCTGCAATGCCTTGCTCTTAATACGCATTTATTATAATTGTATAGTTCATTTGTCAGTTAAATCAAATATTGCTGAGGGTTTATTATGTGCTATTCTAGATGCTGGACATACAGCCTGGAACAAAAAAGACAAAAATCCTAACTAGCAGCCAGGTGTGGTGGCTCACGCCTGTAATCCTAGCACTGTGAGAAGCCAAGGTGGGAGGATTGCTTGAGCTCACAAGTTCAAGACCAGCCTGAGTGAGAGCGAGAGCAAAATCCCGTCTCTAAAAAAAATGGAAAAATTAGCCGGGCATGGTGGCGCATGCCTGTAGTCCCAGCTACTCGAGAGGCTGAGACAGGAGGATCACATGAGCCCAGGAGTTTGAGGCTGCAGTGAGCTGATGACACCATTACACTCCACCCAGGGTGACAGAGTGAGACTGTCTCAAAAAAAAAAAAAAAAATCCCAACTCGCAGTGGAGCTTACATTCAAGAGAAGGCTTTAGACATAAAACAAATACATGAATAAAATAGAGTTTTTTAGATAGTATTATGTGCTAGGGATAAAAATTAAACTAGGGAGGGAATATAGGAAGTATGTGGTGTGGGGAGGTAAAACATTTTGATAGGGTGGCCTGGGAAGTCATTACTTAGAAGGGGACATTTAGGTCAAGGCCTAAAGGAAATGAAGCCTTGTTGCATACGGCATTTCTATACAAAGAATGTTCCCTCCTCCTCCCCACATGGAACCTTTAGCTTCACTTTTGTTGTCTCTGTCTCTAATGACGGTGACTACCAAAAATAAAAGCCATAAGCAATGTTTACACACATTGGTTAAACTTCCCAAACTGGCCACTGGGGAGCAGCCCTGCTCCACTCCTGAGGTTACATGGAGGCCTGAGACCAGAGTGGTCCGTGTTAGGAGCTCAGGAGTCGAGTAGGATTGTTAACTTCCAGTTGAACCCCTGTACACACATCACGGACTTTTAATTTGGAAAAGTCAAAATTATGATTAAAGGATGCCAGGAGCTGTCATCCAGGGTCGACATAAATGCACATGGCTTCTGAAAAGGGGCTGGACAAAAAAGAAAGGGAATACAAGAGAGATTTAGGACAGACTGGTTAGAAGGCAACAGAGGCCCGGCTGCTGTCCTGAGCCACTCCAGGAATCTGTAAAATATTTGTAAACTATTCAGGGAGACTGGAGGAGGAGGAGGAGGAATGAGAGCCTGGCATGAGAAGGAATAATCCAATGTTATGGGAATTTTAGTGAAGGACAAAAGTGGTTCCTGGGGGAATTCTGGGCATGTGGGTCTAATAATCAATTTAGTCCAAATGTGCTGTGCAACTTAGGGGAAATAATTTTGTCACTTTGTGTCTAAAAATATTGAAGGGTAAAAGAAAAAACAAATAAAGAGCTACCCAAAGGATATAATATTTAAAAAAGAAATAAGATGGTTTGTGCATTGAATTACAATGAGGAGTTGGAAAGGGAAATTAGACAGGAATATGAAAGAGGACGTCAGGATGATCAGAAAAGAGAAAAATGACAGTACAGATGTAAAAGGAGGAGAAAGTAACAAAGAGACATGGAAAACTCACCAGGAACGAGAAAAACAGGGCAGTAGCAGAGAGGAAGTGCCAGATGTCATGGTCATCGAAGAACTCCAGCAGGACACACTCGCGATTCCTCTCCCGGGATTCGGCTGGGGTTCCCTGGAGGAAGACGAGGACATGGGCAGGATTCCCACAATTTAATTGTTTAGGGGGTTGAACATCCCAAAAGCTACAACAATGCTGATAGATATCTGGCTCAAAACATCGGCTTCCAAGAAAATACACGTCCACGCAAAAAGCTGTGCACAAATGTTCACAGCAGCATCATTCGTTATGGTCAAAGAGTGGAAACGACCCAACTGATGAATGGATTGATAAAGTGCGGCATTAACATATCCACACACTGGAATATTGTTCAGCAATAAAGAGACATGAAGTCCTGATACGTGATACAATATAGTTGAAACTAGGAAACATTATTCTAAATGGAAAAAGCCAGACTCAAAGGCCACCTATTGTGTGATTCCATTTACCTTAAATGTCCAGAATAGGCAAATCTATAGACATAAAAGGTAGATTAGTAGTTGCGTAGGGATAAGGGGTTAGGGAGAAATGAGGAATGACTGCTAATGTGTAGGAGGTTTCTTTCTGGGGTGATAAAAGTGTTCTAAAATCCATTGCGGTGATCGTCGTGACGAAGAACTAAGAATTCTTCCCTGTTGTGCCTCAGATATATTCCTATTAGCACTCGGTTTTGCTATCTATGAAATGGATGTAATAATACCCATACCTGGGTCTTTGTTGATGGATGGTGATTATGAGAAGGCAGAGAAGATACACACTAATCAGGCATTCTGCACAAGTTAACCATCCATTGGGACCAGGATCATACTACAACACACAATGAAGATCAAATCTGCAGCATATATAGGGCTCACAATTTTTTTTTTTTTTAGATAGAATCTCACCCAGGCTAGAGTGCAGTGACGTTATCAAAGCTCACAGCAACCTCCAACTCCTGGGCTCAATTGATCCTCCTGCCTCAGCCTCCCGAGTACCTGGGACTACAGGCATGCATCAGCATGCTAGGGGATTTTTCTATTTTTTAATTTTTTTGTAGAGATGGGGTCTCGCTCTTGCTCAGGCTAGTCTGGACCTTCTGACCTCAAGTGATCCTCCCACCTGGGCCTCCCAAGGTGCCAGGATTACAGGTCATGAGCCACCACGCCCAGCCTGGGCTTACAAATTTATGAAGTGCTATCCCGAGGGTGACGACCACATGCCAGTTATTATGCATTTATGTGTGGATATTAAAAATCATCCCTTTTAGAGAAAGTTTTCATTTTAGAGAAAGTAAAAAGAATAACAAGAAGAAAGACACACATTAAGAGAGGGAAGCAGAAAGGTCGAAAAAGGCAAGGTGGAGAGAGTTTCTTTTTGGACAAGAAAACTGTCCTCTTACCTCCCAGCTGCTGAGATTCTGGAAGAAAAAATACAGGGCGGCAGCCCACACCACAGCGGTGGCCACGATGCAGAAGAGCGGGACCGGGAGGACCTTCTCTGAGCTGCGAAGCTGTTGGGTGAGAAGCAGATGCCGCCACGCTGGACCCGCCACCTGCGGGAGGGCCGAGGCACAGCGGCTCCCCGTGCCCGGGCTTACCTTCATGATGATGTAAAAGGCCAGGTACAGCAGCAGGTTGCAGATGAAGATGCCCAGCATGTAGGAAGCAAAGTCCCTGGGGCGGTATATCAATCCGAAGAGGGCGCTGAGGACACAGGAGGAATGTTGGCAGCCGCCAAGGTGGATTTGTAACCTCCTTGGCTTTGTCACTCCCCCATCCCCATGTGTGTGTGTGTGTTGGGGGGATCATTAAACAAAACCACTCTAACATATAAGTAACTTTCAATTTATTACAAGAACATTCATTCCTAAAGACTATGGAAAGTTCTCCTAAGTGAATGTAAACAATCATCTTTCCTCTTTGGTTGAAAAGGAGGGTTTTCCCCACGCCCTTGAGTTTTTCACTATTCTAAGGAACACTGCAAGGAATAAATGAATACCTTTAGACATATGGGGCTTATTTTTTTCATTTACTATTATTTCCTTAGAACAGATTACTAGAAGTAGAATTATCTCCATGCTTGGCTTGATATATATTACCAAATTTTTGCTAGCTGTCCATGATTTTAAAACAAATACTGCAGTTAATTTCAGTTGGGGTTTAACTTAATTTTTTTCCAATTTCTATTCAGTTGTAACAAACCCTTATCCTCTTGTTTTGAAATTGTTTTTAACAAATATATTAATACATTCACACACACAAATTAAGAAATGTCTCTGTCTACATCTATAGCTCACTGGGTTTCTGTCCTTTCCATTCTGACTCACTGATTTATATTTCTAATTTGTAATTTTAGATCAGTGCCTCACTGTTTTATTGTTGTTTTATAATATGTTAGGTTATCTGGTTAGGCTAACCTGTAGTATCCCATTTGATAGTCATATGCTATTTAAGTTTAAATTAATTAAAAATTTAAAAACCTGAAATTCTAGTTCCTCAGACATACTGGCCACCTTTCAAGTTCTCAACATCCATGTATGTGCTAATAATGGCTATTGTATTGGACAGTGCAGTGGGGAATATTTACATCATTCTGGAAAGTTCTATTGGATAATGCTGGGCTAGTCACTATACCCCTCTGTCCCTCCTTCCTTCTATTACTCTTCTTTTTCAGAGAGCTCTGAAATTTTTGCCTATCTAGGCAAATAAATTTTAGAATTATATCCTACTAACTTAATTACAATTCTAATTCTAAATTTATATATTAACTTGAGAAAGGTTATCTTTGCCATAGTTAATCTTCCCACCCAGGGCCTGACATCCTTCTTCATTTAGTTTTCCTTTGTGTCTCCCAATAAGGTAATTAAGTTTTCTGCAGAAAGATTCTGCACATCTCTCAAAATTTATCCCTAAGTATTTTAAGTGTAAAGCTGTTATTAATGGACTGTCTTTTTGTTCATTTTGAACTCTAACCGACTTGGTTCTGTGCAATATAGGAAATTTTCTCCTCTTAGATTCTGAAATCTTCAGTTTACCAAAATACTCTTATAGAGTCTTCACTCAGATGCACCAATTATTAGCATTTTGCCACATTTGCTTTAGCATTCTGTCTCTCTCTCTACATACACATGAATACATGTATACACATCTCTGTGTGTGTGTGCATGGTATACACATATATATGGTATATACACACAAAACCCATTTTTTTTCTTTAGGACCATCTGAGTAACATTCATATTAAATCACTCCATGTCTTTCTGGAGCAACTGAGAGGGAGGTGACGCTCTATGGGATCACCACAGTGTTAGTGTGTCATTGCACCTCCTTCATTCTTGCAGGCCCTGGTGACCCACAGAGCTGTCTAGAAGGAGAAAGGCCATTTGCCTTGTATTATGAACAGATCATGGGTTTGGCTTTGATTGTGTGAGAAACAGATACAAGCCAGGTGATTCAGAGGCCCTGGGGTCACAGTCATTGGTTGTTCATTACCAAGAAGTTGGTCCCCTTTCTCCTACAGGCACCCTGAGTCACCAGACTGGGGAGTCTGCTCCCGGAAGGTTAGTCCCGAAGAGCACTGCAGGGGCCTGTTGCCTGAGAATCTCCTCATCTCGGCTTGCCCCCAAGTAAAGGAGGGAATCCTTATTCTGAGGTAATCCCTGGGGTGACAACATGGGAAGTTTCTTCCAGAAGCATATGTTCCCCAAAATAAGATTTGAATTCTCACGGCTTGATTCTGGCTTCCCCTGAAGGCATGACTCTTTCTCCAGTCATCTGTGTGTTTTATGTGCGCTAGGAGTAGCGAGTCATGTTTCTATCAAAGGTCACTGACCCAGAGGAGCACATCAGCTAAGAGCCACACATAAAAGCACCTAAACTTACTTATTTTTTGGGTGATCAATAAAATATCTCACTCATTCAAATGTTTGAATTGAGAATGGGTTGCATAGGATAATTTGGGGTAGCAAAAATACGTGTCTGTGGTACTGTTCTATTTAGAGGCCATTCGAGGAAAAAAGGTCAAGGGGATGATGGAGACAAAAAGAGGAAGAAGAATGATATAGATGGAGTAGGAAGAAAGAGAGCTAGAGGGAAGGGAAAAATAGGGAAAAGACTTACTCTCTCTCACACACATACACATTTAGTAAGAAAGAAGTTTCTACAGAAAAGAATGCCTACTGGGTACTCTTTATGGATAGTTCTACAAAAGAGTTTAAAACCTTGTAAAACCTTGTTGTGTTTTTGCAACAATTGGTATAACAACTGTCTATCTACCTACCTGTCCATCCATCCTTCCATCTATCTGATCTATCCACATAGATTTAACAAGTTTTGATGTTTGTCTTGTTAAGCAAATGAACTCTATGCATCAATTTTTTAAGACAGGCTGTAATTGGTACACAAGAGTGTCCTACTGCCTTCCTTGCAAGAAGAAAAATACCTTTTTTCAAGTCTCTAGGGCAAGCAGTCCTACCTTCTCCTTAATTTCAGATTTATTCATAAAAATGACAGTCAAGGAAAGTTAAACCACAGAGCTATAGACATTAATAAAGATAAAAATGTGTTTTTGTAAGACTACTTACAAGGACCAGTTAACCAGATTCCCCATAATGAGTAACACCATTCTATCCTGGAAAAGAGGAAAGAAAACATCACATGAGAGGCTATACATACTGCTTTTCTTCTAACCTGTGGTGGTGAGAGCATCAACTATGGGAAACAATTGTCTAGGTGAGAAAACTTTTCCATTGTTCTAAGAGGGCCTTGTGTACGTTCTGACACTAATCCTCTACCAGGACTAAATGGCCAGGCTTCTGACTACAGACAGACCTGACCTGGTCCCTGTGAATGAAAAGGTGGTCAGCAAAGCAGGACTCTGGATGATTCTCTCCAGTGTTTAGTGGGCACCTGGGCCCACTTCTCAGTGCGGAGATTGGTGATGAGTGCTGAATATTCAGTAGTTAAAGGAATTCTGCCACTGGTGATATGTAATTGAGGACTGTTTCTCTAGGTTGCCCCACTTGGTAGCCTGTATGGCAACTCTTAGGACTCAACTGTAGGAAGTTAGTTTTGTACGCATTACTCGGGCTCCAAGGAGGTCCTGCCACTCTCAGGCTCCTGTCTCTATAACACACAGTCTTAACACGAAAGTTACTGGGTGGAAGAGAAAATAGAGAGGAAAGGACCATCTTAAATGACAATTACTCTGACAGAGATTTGTTTGCCATCTGTTTCTGTTCCTTTGCATAGTACTTACAACTTTTAGGTGAGATTTGATTAGACTTTAATTCTCAAAGACACTCATCTACTATTTAAAAGCAGTGGTTCTTTGTCTTTGAAGGTGGTCCATCCAATTTGGAGGAAATATTTTCTTTTAAAGAGACATTAATTCACCTATTAGAATGGCCAAAATCCAAACATTGACAACACCAAATGCCAACAAGGATGTGGAGCAATAGGAACTCTCATTTATAGCTGGTGGAAAGGCAAAATGATACAGCCACTTTGGAAGACAGTTTGGCAGTTTCTTACAAAACCAACTATGTGCTTACCATACCATTTAGCACTAGCTCTCCTTAGTATTTGCCCAAATGAGCTGAAAATTCATATCCACACAAAAACCTGAGCATGAATGTTATAGCAGCCTTATTCATACCGATAATTACCAAAACTTGGGAACTACCAAGATGTCCCTCAATAGGTGACTGGGTAAACTGTGCCACATCCAGACAATAGAATATTATTCAGTGCTAAAAAGAAATGAGCTATCAAGCCATGAAAAGACATGGAAGGAACTCAAATGCATTTTACTAAATGAAAGAAGCCAATCTGAAAAGGCTATACACCGTATGATTCCAGTTACATGACATTTTGGAAAAGACAAAACTGTGGAGACAAGAAGAAGATCAGTGGTTGCCAGGGGTTAAGAGGGAGGGAGGGATGAATAGGCAGAGCACAGAGGATTTTCAGGGCGGTGAGACCGTATGATGCTATGATGGTGGGTACCTGTCATTATATAGTCCCCAAACCCATGGAATGTACAACATCAAGAGTGAACCCTGATGTGCTGTAGACTATGGATTGGGTGACAGGGACGTGTCAGTGTAGGTTCATCAGTTGTAACCAACGTACCACTCTAGCGTGGAATGTCAATAGTGGGGGAGGCTGTGTGTGTGGGGGATGGGGGCAGAGGCTATATGGGAATCTCTGCACCTTCTGCTCAATTTTGCTGTGAACCTAAAGCTGCTCTAAAATATAAAGTCTATTTAAAAAAAAAAAGAAAGCTGCATCAATTAATGTAAAAAACAAATGAAACATTACTTGCCCCTGCTGGTTCACAGCAAAGGCACGCTTAACTCTCAAAACACTCATACATTGTAATGGGCTTTTTAATTCTCCCCTGAATACAACCCTCCAGCCTCAACTCCCTCAAGTTTTTAGTGCCTATAGCTCCTGCCCAAGCTCTAGAGGGCTAAAAGATTCCCATATTCCTTTATGTAAAAATCCTTCTGATTATAAAGGCTCAGTAGTACTTGCTAGATCCCTGTGTACCAGGCCATAATAGTAATATCACTGGTTCTGACCAGGGCACTGTGCAAAGGCTGGGGCAGTGGGCTCAGAGGGGGTAAGTCGCCTTCCCAAGAAGCCAGGGAGCTAAGACAGAGCTGGGACCAGGGCCCTGATCTCTGGGCTCAGTGTAAAAGTGTATAATATACTGAAAACTATAAGGGCAAACTTTTTTTTTTTTTTTTTTTGAGACACAGTCTCACTCTGTTGCCCGGGCTAGAGTGAGTGCTGTGGTGTCAGCCTAGCTCACAGCAACCTCAAACTCCTGGGCTCAAGCGATCCTACTGCCTCAGCCTCCCGAGTAGCTGGGACTACAGGCATGTGCCACCACGTCCGGCTAATTTTTTTTATATATTTTTAGCTGTCCAAGTAATTTCTTTCTATTTTTTAGCAGAGACGGGTCTCGCTCTTGCTCAGGCTGGTCTCAAACTCCTGAGCTCAAATGATCCTCCTGCCTTGGCCTCCCAGAGTGCTAGGATTACAGGCATGAGCCACCGTGCCCGGCCCCAAGGGCAAACTTTTAAAAAGTATTTTTCAACCATCAAGCAATAACCACAGTTTTAAAAAATATTCTTGCTCATTGTAAAAGTCCAATAATACAGAAATGCATAATGTGGAAGTATAAGCTCCTAATGAAAGTGACTGGAGTGACCACGTGTCCCAGTTTGCTGGGGATGATCCTGGCTATGCCTGCTGTCTTGGTGTAATTATTAATAGTGTGCCCTTCCATTTTCATAAGGGTACTTCTTTGGATGAGTATTTACGGGGATACTTTGTCTCGATCCTCCCCATAGCAATTATCACTATTTAACAGTGGGGTACATATATTTTCTTCTTTATACACCAGCAAATATTTCATTAACAAAAATGGCACCATCCTAGTTTGTTTTTTATGAAAAAGAGAAAGCAACATGGTTCTTCCCCTGCCAACTGGACCTCAGCCACCCTCGGCCATCTGGCCCTCCTGACTTCAGGAGCCTTGAGTGACAGCCCTAAGCCTGCCCCACCTGCAGTTTCCCTACCAAGGAACACAGGGGCACGCACATACCATGTACAGAGGCCGGCTACACTGCTGGACACAGTCCGTGTAGAACACCATAGCCGCCCGCCGGAAAATTCCCAAATCTGCTGATGACACAATCACGTGGTAAGAAGGCTTAGTAAGAGAAAACACAAATACTTTGAAGTGGCCCAGGCTTTTGGCCCAAGTGGGGCCAGGACGATGTCATCTTCACTTCATTAAAATGCATTAGAATGCTTTGCACCTAATAGGCAAGTGACAAATATTTGCTTTAAAAAATGATACTGTCATGGAAGGGGTGCCACATCCATGCATCATGCAGCAGAAAGGCAAGCAAGACGGACACTCCCGATAAGCACTTGCAAATAACATGGGGGGTGGCTGGCCCTTAGTCTGTCTCCTTTGGCTAAGCTTCCCTGTGTTTGGTTTACTCTGATGGGGTTTCCTTTACAGCAGAGATATTACAGGACCCCTCAAATCCACCTTAAAACATCTGCTCTCCCCAGAGGTTGGGACATCGTATCATGTAAAGGTTCAAATCTATATTTCTCAATGTGGTTATAAATTAGTAAGAATTGAACCAAGGCATCCTGGACTTTACCAAGCATGTTCAGAAAGCCTGTCTGTACTAAAACAATAATCAAAGGAATGTAAGTTAAGATGAGGAGAAAAGGATAGGAAAGGTTTTTTTTAAATGCAATTTTCAAAAGGACAGTACAAAATGTAGTGAGTGTGCGTGTTGTAAGTTGCATGAATGGTGTCAGGGTCAAAGGCAGGGCTGTCCTTCTGTGAGCACATCACATGCCAAGTCGGGGTCTGCCCAAAGCAAGCTTTTCAGAGAGTGTGGATCCCAGCTCTGTTGTGAACGCTACTTCTTCTCAAGGTGACCCCTGCAGTTAACTTAACCAGGGGGGAGAGGCCTGTCCTGTGACAGCCCAGCGGGCTGGGGTGGAGTGCAGCCTCCCCACTCCCATGGGGCCTTCCCGAACTGGAGAGGGGGTTTAGGGAGCAGAGCTGGCAAGACAGCCAGGTGGGTCGCTTTGATAAGGAAACAATCTAGAACCTTGACAAGGATGGCTGAACATTACCTGGGTCAGACACATCTGAATCAATGGGAAGCAGAGAAGAAATGAGAAAAAAAAATGATTTGTAAGAAAGTAGCCAAAACAGGTAAACTACTGCTCCTTTTATTTTTTCTCAAAATGGATGACTTTAATTTTGTTTTCTGATTATTAAAGCAATGTTTTCTCATCAAAAAGGACACAGAATCTTTTCTGCCTGTTTCAAACATTCAGAAGTTTACTACTTCTCAAAGAGGTGGCCAGATTACCATGCCACCCCTTTCGCTGTCTACCCCAGCCATGACTTGGGAATAGTTCCTTTGTGAATAAGTCCCCTTCAGCCTTTGTGTGTGACATCTTTTCCCTGTTGGGACCCTGATAAATTATTACATGGTCATAATATAATATGTTAAATTCCTCTTCTTTTAAAAGTTAAAGTAATTTAGTATTGCAAAATTGCATGAGGCAGAGGTGTTATAGTAAAAGCTTTTCTTTGTATTCGTGGTCATTACCATTACATATATCTGCATTCAAGTTTATTTTTCCAACTCTGGGGGAAACCAGAACAACAATGCTCCAAATTATTTTCTTTCTGAAAGTTTAGTTTGACTAGCTAAACTTCACTCACCTTCTGTCTGGAAGAGGGGGCATGACCTGAGCACCACACCAAATGTTCTACCCAGCTGGATAAGGTAACTGGGGATTCGGAGCTCCGCTGGCTATGTTCATGCCAGAGGTAAATCTACTCATTGTGCCAAAAGGGAAAACTAGACTGCAAAGATGAGCAATTGTTTTATTCAGTCTTCTAGTCTTAAAGCCATTTGTTTATGTAGAATTGCTCTCAGACCTGGGCAAGAGGGGTCCCATATTTTAGAGGGCTCTTATGAGGGAGGAGTCTGCAGGGCAAGGGGACTATTCTTTTGCTTTCTGGACCACATTCTGAATTCCTGGACTCCAGAATCTCCTGCCCAGATGGCTCTGAGCCTGCTCTCAGGCCCTGCATGCCCCAGGCCCCAAACCCCCTGGTCTATCTTCCTGAGGGCGGATGGACCACTAGCGCACACCTCTGGGGCAAGGAAAGTTGTAGTTATTTGTGGAGGATGTGGCTGCATGTTGGATGTTGGGCAAGGATGTCCATTTGCACACCTGTGAAACCTTTTAACACTGGACAGAACCAGAGATAGGAAGAAAAGAGGGGCAGGGGCTGGGGACCAGCTCTCCTGCACAACTATGTTCTGGAGTATTCTTTTGAGCGACTGAGAATTCTAAATTTGAACTAGACCTTCTAGGTATATGAATGTATATTTTATTTTCCACTTTGTTAGTTGGTCCTTCCTTTCTTTCCTTTCTTTCTTCTTTCATATATTTAATAGCTTTTTAGTCTGCTTTATAACTGAAATTCTTATACATATGGTATGCAGGATTTTATTTGCACTCTTGTTCTGGGCTCTGTAAATATTAGGGGTGGACCTATATTTACATATAATAATTTGTCTTGAAATATACAAAAGAATATTTAAGTCTGACTTCCTGGGACTTAAAATGATTTGATAAATTTAAATGCTCTAAAACAACTTGAATCTGTTTTGAGACAGGGTCTCACTCTGTCACCTGGGCTAGAGTACAGTGACATTATCATAGCTCACTACAAATTCAAATTCCTGGGCTCAATCAATCCTCCTGCCTCAGGCTCCTGAGCAGCTGGGACTACAGGTGCATGCCACCACGCCCAGCTAATATTTTCTATTTTTAGTAGAGACCGCGTCCCACTCTTGCTGGTCTCAAACTCCTGGACTCAAGTAATCCTCCCTCCTCGGCCTCTCAGAGTGCTAGGATTACAGGTGTGAGCCACAATGCAGATCCCAGAAGCTGATTTCTGTGGAACACTCAATGCTCCCTGATGAGTTCACATTGTTAGAGGGAGTTCAGCAGGTGCCCTGCCTTTAAGATTGGCAAGTTGCCCTCAAAAATTTCCAGCCCTAGAATCTGAAAATCTATAATTCATTCTTGACAATCATTTAGCATGGTTGGAGAAATGTTCCTTTTAAATGCTGCAAACTGAAAAATGTCCCTCTAGGTGGAACTAGTGTTATGACGATCATACCATTCTCCGAATGTGCTTTCAAAGTGGTGGATTGTAAAGTGTTTGCAACTGGGAGCTGGCGGTATGCACCAGCTGGGAGGTGTGGCAAGCATAGTTTCTCACCTGAAAACAGAACTTGTGATAATAGCCTATTGCAATCCTATAAGGGAGAGAAAGATCTTGGAGAGAATATATGCAATTAAACAGCACCGGATTCAGAGCACATGACCAGTAACACTTTCATTTAGGATGAGTGAAGGCAAGGCCTGCTTTTTCACGTATGTTAATCCACGTGTTTAGTATAGGATAACAGGTGACTCACCTATCTTGAAACGACCCATGTAGTAGATCTGGGTGCTGAGGGCCAGAGAGGCCAGAATGTGGATTGCAGAGAAGATGATCCAGAACCACACGTCATTTTTTCCAAACACCTAGGAGTAAGGATGGAAGTTACCTTAATCTGGTGTTTTTCCCAGAGAACTCACTAAAATCATTCTATCTCTTTTGTAAGGATTCAAAAACTGAGCTGTGTGTGCATTCTGTTTTTTTCCCCTTTCTTGGGCTGAACTCACAGGGATCCTACTGCACAGTGGGTGGGACAAGGAATGGCTAACTGGCCAAGGGGAAATGGAAAAGGGAAGAAATAGAGGAGGTAGCTGAACAACAGCAATAGGTCTACAGTTGGGGCTGATGCACTTCAAATAACTGAAGACAGCCAGCACTAGCTGCCCACGCGCATTTAGAGAGTGATTTCTGTTCTTTCCAATCAGGCTGTATATCTCTATTCCTGTCTCTCTCTCTCCAATTTTAACAATTTCACACGAGTCAGGCCCCAGCTTAATATTAAAGCTATTCAGGGTACTTTTATAGGTGCCTAGTACATTATTAAAAATAACCAACTCAATAACTAAGTAAAAGTGTGCCATGAATGGATCAATGATGAGAGTGTGTCATGAACGGAGGATTATGCTTAATCCAAACCTGTTCGCCTGAGGTCCAACAAACAAACAAACAACAGGCCTCCCAAGGGGGCACTTTTTGAGAGCCAGACCGAAGGCAGGTGGAGAGGGACGCACCACTCCGAGGACGGTGAGCATGATGACCACAGCGAAGGAGGCGTAGGCAGAGTAGGCGCTGGCATTGATGTCCGGGTGGCGGGTCTGGTAGAGCTTCAGCATGCAGAGGCCCGCGATCATGTACATGAAGGAGGTGTCTGAGGACCCAGAGGAGGAGTCGAGACAGTCAGGATTCAGTAAGCAACAGACAGATGACACTTTCTAGATTTTTCTTCAGCCTCTGAGTAGCCCTTCATTTCAGTCTATGGACCATTAATTGCTGCCCTCAGGCTGTGTGGAGACTTCCAACATGTCAACCCCTGTAGACACATTCTCCAGGCAGAACCCACACACTCCACTTCTAAACACCCACAAGGCTATTCTGAATTCACAGAAGGAAAAGCATCTGATGTAACAAATAACTCCTATTTCACAGAAGAAAAGTATTTTGATATGATAAATAATTGACTGTCCTCACTTTCAGGGTTATTTGAGTTTTAAACGCTGGTGTTCAACAACAATAACAAAAGAATCCCTAACGGTGATAGTTTAGGCAATGTGACAACGGAATGAGTCCCAGGTGGGTGTAGGAGGTCATTCTCGGCATTCTGAAATATAAACACATTGATCACTGCACATACAGAGCTTTATAGCCTGGTGACAGAAAATAGCTAGAAATTAAATGTAGCTTAGCTGCATTAGAATTATGAAAATGCAAATTAAGACAACAATGTAGTGCCCCATATTACTCAACAATTTAACAAAAAATTTAAATGTCTGACAATAACAAATTGTTAGTGATTATGTAGGGAAATGGGAACTCTCACACAGCTAATGAGAGTGGGAATTAATGCTCTGGAGAGAAATTTGTCAAATTTGGGTAAAATGGAAGCTGCACAAACAAGGTGGCTCAAAATTCTATTTCTAGGTATCCCAGGGAGCCTCTCTCACATGTGCACAGAGACATATACAAGGATGCTCATTGCAGCATTGTCTGTAATAGCAAAATATTGGCATCATCTAAATGTAGTTCAATCGAAGAACTGATAAATGTGATCTATTTTTATTATAGAATATGACAACCCTTAAAAATGAATGAACCACCTGTCCTTGATTCATTTTTTTTAAACCTTTGTTCTGACTTCTCAATAGTGTCCTTGATTCCATATTGATAAACCTTGAAAACATATTGTTAATTGAAAAAAGAAGGTTACAGAACACATTGTGATTAATTAATATCAATTTGCTACAAATGTAACAAAATTATAAGAAGAAACTGGAAGGATAAATACCAGATAAATCATAATTGTTGCCTCTGGGGAGAGAGGGAGGACATTAAGCTTCGAAAGTGCTTCAAAACAGGGCCTCAACTTTATCACAATGTTTTCTTTCTTAAAAAGTAGATCTAAGGCAAATATTTTAAAATGTTGACATTTGTTCATTCTGCATGGTGAATGATATTCTCTGTAGTTTTCTCTATGAAAAATGTTACTAATTAAAAAAATTAAATGTGGAAGGGAAGTTCTGTGGTGCTCTGAGTTAATAGCCAGAGGTCAGAGCACGAACATAAAATGACCATTTTAAAAATCCTTATCCTTGAGTGGGGAGGACATTGTTACTTGCCTACTACCATTAGCTCTTCCCTTGCTCCTTCTTAACAGCATCTCAGTGCTAACTCAGTATCTACCCGCTTTCCAATTCAGAAGTGCAGCCACCCCCAGCCCCTTTGCTTCAGGAAAGGCTAATCCCATTCTTGGCTCCAGAGATGGCTCTGATTGGTCTGAAGGTGATCCCACCTCTTTTGCTGATTGGTGTAGCAATCTAGGCCCAAGCCAACCAGCACTTAGGGAATGTTTCAAAAATAGGCTCATGACTGTTTAAGCTACTGAGATGTGAGGGGATGTTAACTGGGGGTTTCTCAAAAAGAAGCTTCCTTGCTCTTAAATGAAGAAGACTCCTGGGAAGCCAGCTTGCTGCCTCCTCAGGAACTGTTGTGGGGAACTATTAATATAAAGCCAGGACCTTCTATAGCTACGTTTGCTACCATGAGAGAAGATAGCCTGAGGATAAAACTAACATACAGGCTGGGCGCGAGCAAAGGGATCACAGAGATGGGGCCAGAGCCACAAGGTAGCTCAACCACAATCCCTTTCTACTTCTGGACTTTCAGGTGGCGGGCTGATAAATGTCCTTATTATTCAATCCAATCTGAATTGGGTTTTCTATTACTTTCATCCCAAAGCAGTCTAACTGCTCAATGAGGTCAAATTACACCAAGGGACCTTTCTAGAAGTCTGTTTGTGGGTTCTATCTGACTTGTTGCCTAAAGCTTAGCCCATTGCCTGCTTTCAAATCTAGCCATGGGATAGTCTTGCAGTGTTGAGCATTTTCTAGTCTAAAAGGTGGTCAGAGAGAAAAAGTGGTACAACATGTGGAAGTCATGCTCTGTGGTGAGGTGCTCTCAGATCACTGCAGCTCACATAAAATGCCATTTAAGTCTTGCAAGCATGACTTTGGCATTTTGGAGAGGGTCCCAGGATAAGACTCATAACTCAAACCTGTGTAGTAGATATAAGTTCTAGTTACCGAATTGGAAGTTGGAGTAATTAGGGCAGACATGGTAACACGCACTGAGCACCCCTTCCATCATCAATGCGATGCCCATAGCATAGAAGAGACCAAAGTGTTTGGGAATCCCGTACTCCTGAAAAAGGAAAAGGGTGGTTAATAGAAAGATACCAATTGGTGAATTACCCAGCGTGTCACTAATCCAGAAGCCCATGCTTCTGGCCCCATATGGTTCCTTACACATAATATGTTATCACACCATCAAGCCAGATGTCCCTCCCCTTTGCAGATCCTGTTTGGAACCACAACCCTTCCTAACTCTCTCCTCTGATTTACCCACTCTCTCCTCACCATAGCAAAGATGTCCTTGGCTTCCAGGGCTCTTCGATGGAGGATGTCCCGGCGCAAGACTATCAGCAGGAAAAGCAAGCCCAGAAGCACATGGCCCAGGTTACTGAGAATGTTGTTGAAGGCACTACGGGGACAAGTGAGAAACCATGAGAGAGGCAAGGCAATCCCAGGAATTCAGAGAATGAATGAATGCATGAAGGAGAGAGTGAATTCAGCACTCAGCGTTTTCTACCACTAAATGTTTCTGTAAGTTTTCAGGATAGAAAATCATTAGGAATCCTCTTTAACCTAACTCCTTCATTTTATGATGCTTACTTAGCCTGTGATAATTTATGTTTCCTCTCAGAGATGCCTGCTCAGCTTCCTACCACCCGCCCAATCCTCTCTTGTCCCGGTGGCCCTGGTACGGCATGAATCTTGGGAAAGAGAGCCGCTCAAAAGATAGGCAAGTGTTTCAGATACACTGTGAGAGTGAATTCTCATAGGTGGACCCATGTTAAGGGTCAATATTCAGCCCTCTAATTGTGAATTTCAGGATAAGTGTCAGCCAATCACAGCAAGCAGCTTTATTTCATGAAACTGAGGCTGGTTCATCTCTGGAGCAACAAGCCAGGCTCCCACCCAGGCTCTTTCCACTTTACCAAGTTCTGGTGGCGAGAGCATGGCCTTAGAGGGGTCCAGTCCTGACATCACTAGCAGCTGAGGGACCGTCAGCAAATCCTTACCTGTCTTCATCTAAAACTAGGGGTAACAATGTCTGTCTCATGAGATTTATTAATGGATCGAATGAGACAACAGGCTGCCAGCTCATGCCTGTGAACAAATACCCTCACAGCTGGGTCCCTGACGTTTTCAGAAACATCACTACCCTCTTCTCAGAAGGTTATCCTTAGGCATGTTTCCCAAGGCCCTCTTAGGGGAATGAGAGAAGCATACCTGGACTCAACTTCTTGGCTTAGTTCCTCTTTACCCTTGGCTGTGGTCATTTTCCACAGTTATTTTTAACATTTTAAAAAACTGAAATCACAACATTAGACAGAAAAGCATCTTTAAATGCCTCATGGCAACCAGAGGACTGGGTTTACCTGAGGACGCCCAGGGGGTGTGCACAGAGGAAGTTGTAGTAACAGATGTCCTGGTTGCCAGTGACATTTACCACCTGTAAAATCAAGAGCGAGAAGAGGAAATGTGGTTTTTCTCCGTCCTCTGAGCCCTAGCCTGAAAGCACAAAGATAGACAGGGCTCCTCCAGGGATGCTCTGTCAGGGATCTACAGTGTAACCACTATCTGCCACCATGACACCGCATGGCCATGTTTCCTTTAATGTCACCATCTTGCGTCGAATAGAAATATTCTGTGTACCCCTTGTGCAGCCTCAAGGTGGAATTCAGCTAAGTGTGTTTCCTTTGTTGTCATGATAAAAGGACTCTGAAAGGATGCTAATACTGGGACCTGCCTTTTAGGACTGTCATGCTATGTCC